TATTCCAGATCTATTCCGCAGTAATAACACATTTTTGGTGGGTCAAATTGGCAAAATCATTAAAAATAATAAAAAGTAAATAATTGGAATCCATACAATTTGTGGCCCTAGTAATGGAAATGTTATGAAGATTGACTTCATGGTATGAAAAACAGCAAAAAAAAATGCTGTTAAAATGTACAACAAAACGAAAAGAAGTTTGGGACACGTGGGAACCCATTTTTGATGTGGGATTTCCCTCAGTATGCTGAGAATACCATTGGTGAATAAAGAAACTGCCTTGGCCTATTGATAGGGCAGAACTTAGGTAGGCAGGGGAAACTAAACTGAATGCTGGGAGAAAGAAGGAGGAGTCAGGGAGAAGCCACATAGCCCTGTCAGAGACAGATGCCAGAATATTGCCAGTAGGCCACGAGCCTTGTGGTAAAATATAAAATAATGGGTTAAATTAAGATGTGAAAGTTGACCAATAAGAAGTTAGAGCTAATAGGCCAAGCTGAGATTTAAATAATATAGTTTCTATGTGGTTATTTTGGTTCTGGGCAGCCGGGACAAACAAGCAGCCCTCCTGCAACACATTCTGAATGCCCTTCGTCTACATGTTCAGTAGAGATGACACACACACAATACTGGTGATTTCACAGCAACACCTTCTCATGCTTGCTTATCATGCAATGTCCATCCATAATTACTTTGAAAGCAATCAGTAACCCTGCTGACTTCTTCACAGAAACACACATTTAACTTATTAGAAGCTTTTTGAATTTCATTAGCTGGTAGAAATGTAAAAGCTAGGGACACATTTTGAAACTAAACTGTTTGGGTCTTCTTATTCTTTTTCTACTTCTACCATTACTTCATTTTAAAGACATAGTTTTTGATATGTAAGTGTTTTGCCTGCCCACATGTCTCTGAACCATATTAATACAGTGCCAAAGAAGGCAAAAGTTGGCTTCAGGTCTTCTGGACCTGAACTTTCATGTTGTTATTAGACACCATAAGGGTTCCAGGAACTAAACCAAGGTCCTCTGCAAGTACAGCAAATGTTCTTAGCCACTGAGCCATCTCTCGGGCCCCTTGAAACTGAAGTTTTGTATACTGTAGCACTGTTAATCTATTCTTTGAAACTCAGCTACCCATCTCTTTCAGATAGCCTTTGATCCACATATAAATTCTAATTGGGAGATGCAGACTTTCAAAATTTCACCATTTAAGATTTAAACCTTCCAACATTGTAATTTCCATGATTTTGAATTCCTGGAACTTTTATCTACCAGGATTTCAACACTGCAAATTGTTTGTCGTTACAGATAAGGTTTGTCAGCCTCATTATTCAATGACATTGTCCATTGATTTCCTCACAAAAGAGTGTTACCAAATGTCTACTCATGTTTCTCTACCCCACACTTCATTTATTCCTTTGAACTTTTTAGATATTTAATAGGCAATGTATTTGCCAGTGTCTGCAAGTCCAGTCACAATTAAACTTGAACTGTTCCTCTTCCCACACAAGGTAGAGCATTCACATTGTACATCACTGGAAGCTCTGTAAAGTGGAAAGATATGTTTTTACAGTGTCAACCCCATTGAGATGCAAGCAGCCACTGTTACACCATGCTCCCAAATATTAAACTAACTCATCCAGGAGTCAAGTTTGGTCTGCTCTCCATCTCCATAAAGTCACAATAGATGCTTAGCAGACACAGGAAAGTGCCAAGGAGTGGGCATGGGTCCAGCAGGAGTAGGTGGCAGACGGGCTTAGGCTATGGCAGGCTTCATGTATCTTCAGTCTTTCCACCTCATGAATAATTGATCTTGCAGGTGCCTAGCTTAACTGATGAGATAACAGAATCCAGGTCATAATCGACCATTCTGACATTTGTTGTTTCTCACTGAGAACCTATGTCCACAGTCACGGTGTAGAGGCATGTCAAGAGTTGTCTTACAAAAGTATAAAATTCTTTGAATCATCTTGGTCAAGAATGCAAGGAATCTGCCTTTTGATTCATCATTGGTATCCTATCCTCAAAATTTTGAGATCAAAGAGTAGGTGAGGTCGGAGTGCATGACAAGTCATGTGGCAAAAAGCAGCTGGGGAGTTGCAACACAGCCTGAAACATACTGAGGCATAGTTTCCCACACTGGACCTCATTCACTGAAACTATATTATTTAAAACACTTCTTGGACAATAGCTTAAGTATATTGCTAGCTAGCTCTTATATCCTAAATTAACCCATAATGCCATAATCTGTGTATTACCAGATTATGGTGGCTGTGGTTTACCAGACAAAGTTCTGGCATCTGTCTTCTGTGGCAGCTACATGGCTTCTCTCTGACTCTGCCTTCTTTCTCCCAGCATTCAGTTTAGTTTTTCTTCTTACTCTATTCTGCCCTGTCATAGGCCCAAATAGCTACTTTATTCACTAGCCAGTAAAAGCAACACATGTACAGAATGACTTCCTACACCTCTTCCCTAACGATTCACTCTTGCTTTCATTGACTGCTCATGGTGAACAGTACACTTTCTGGTTTCACCTATTTGCCATTAGCTTTTCCTTGTATTAGCCATATGTGTCACCTCACCAGTATAGGTGCCTCCAACAATCAAGCTAACCTTTCCATTCCTTCGGATTATTGCACATACGTTCTTCTGGTATTTAAAGCATCTCCAGCTCACTATTATTCCAGTTATCAATATCACAGCAACACCTTCATGTACTTGATTATCCTGCTGTGTCTGTCCCGTAATAGATTCTAAAGCAATCAGTAACCCTGCCGGTGCCTTCATACAAACACACAATTAACTTATTGGAAGTTTTTTGAATTTCATTAGCTGGTAGTAATACAAAAGCAAATGACACATTTTGAAACTAAACTGTTTTGGTCTTCTACTTCATCATCATCATCCTCATATTTTCCTTCTCCTTCCCCTACTATTACTTTATTTTAAAGACATATTTTCCATGTGTATGTGTAGTTCCTGCATCTGTACCTCTGAACCATATTAATGCAGTTCCAGTGAAGGCCAAATTGAGCAGCAGATGCTTTAGAACTGGACTTACAGACTGTTCTTAGCTGCCATATGGGTGTGAGGGACTGAACCCAGGACCTCTAGAAGTATATCAAATGCTCATAGCAACTGAGCCATCTCTCCAACACCCTGAATCAGAAGTTTTGTGAACCTCAGCATGTCTAATCTAGTCTTCAAAGCTCAGCTTTCTATCCCTTTCAGATAACCTTTGATACACCTACAAATTCCAGTTGACTGATGTGGACTTTCAGAATTTCAACATTTGAGATTTAAACCTTCCAACATTGTGATTTCCATGATTTTGAATTCCTAGAACTTTTATCTACCAGGATTTCAACACTGCAGATTCTTTGTCATTACAGATAAGGCTGGCACTGGGTTCATTTGGTCAACCTGGTCATTCAAATCCCATTGTGCGTTGATTCCCTCAGAAATGAGTGTTACCAAATGTCTGCTCCTATTCTTCTATCCCACACTTCTTTTATTATTTTGAACATTTTAGATGTTTAATAGACAATGTATTTAACAATGTCTACAAGTCCAGGTTTAAACTTGAACTGTTTATCTTCCCAGACAAAGTAGAGTATTCACATTATACACCACTGGAGGCTCTGCTTAGTAGGATTTGTTCTTACAGGGCAAACAAAACTGAGTTGCAAACAGCCACCATTACACCATGTACCCAAATGCCAAACTAACTTATCCATGAGTCAAGTTTGTTCTGCTTCTCCACCGCCATAAGGTCACAAGAAATGCTTAGCAGACACAGAAAGGAGTCAAGGAGTAGGCATGAGTCCAGTAGGAATAGAAGGCAGAAGGGATCAGGCTAAGGCAGCTTGAATATATCTTCAGCCTTTCTATCTCATGAAAAATTGATCTTGCAGATACCTGGATTAACTGATGAGGTAACAGAATCTAGGTCATAATTGACCATTCTGACATTTGTTGTATCTCAGCCTGAGTCTTCGTCCCCAGACACCATGTAGAGGCATGCCAGGAGCTGTCTTACAAAAAGTACAAAATTCTTTGAATTTCTTTGTTCAGGAACCCAAGGAAGCTGCCTTTGGATTCTCCCATTGCTATCCTATCCTTAATGTCTGAGGTCTGAGGGTTATGTGCGGTCAGAGGGTATGGTAAGTCATATGGCAGACACAGCTAGACAGTTGCAGCACTGCCTGAACCTGTTTGAACATACTTTCCCACACTGGGTCTCACTCAAGTTGGTAGTCTTTGTATCACCCCAGTGTACCCGGCTTTTCTGTTTTAGGGTCACCAACTAGCTCCCAAATCATGACACAGAGAATTATTATTTGTGTTGAATGCTCATCCAGACTCAGGTACATTTTTGCTAGCTCTTTTAAGTTAACCTGTTTCTCTTTATCTACATTGTGCCTCTGCTCTTTTTACTTTTTTTTCTGTCCCTAAGTCTAGCAGGATGGTGTCTGCCTGGATTCTGGCCCAAGGCATGTTCCTCATAATCTTCTCTCTTCTCCTACTCTTCTCCTTCTCTTCTCTTGTCTTCTCTTCTCTTGTCTTCTCTTCTCAAGCCTAGATATCTCCACCTATTTATTCTCCCTCCTTGGAAGCCCCACTTATCCCTATTGCCTAACTATTGGCTGTTTAGCTTTCTATTAGACCGCTTGGGTGCCTTAGGAAGTCAAGGTGACACAGATGCAGCACATCTTCGTATAATTGAATACACATCCTTGCATCATTAAACAAATGCAGTATAAATGAAAGTAACACACCTTTACATAGTTAAAGTAATATTCTGCAGCATACACAAATGTAACACATCTTTGCCTAAAATAATCTACACAACCCCAGTATGTGAATATTGACAGTGTTCCTAGGTGGGAATATTACATGTCCATAGCCCAAAGAGGCCTTCCCTGTGATAAGATGCAATTATTAAAGGGATCATTTTCTCATTTAGGGATCCTCTTGATTTCTCAAACAAAGTACTCACATACTATGTGTATGAAGTTATCTCGGTCAACTGTCTACAGGAACACAGCATTATGTATAGAAGCCACAATTGCTGCAAGCTCTTGATGGAATTCTCAGGAGTTCACTGTCATTCTCCAGGACCTGTCTTGGATAATCACATGTATCAGATTAGTGAATTAAATGAAGATTTTTGACTGGGAGTAGAGATTAGTGTAAGAGTTCTTGCCTAGCAATAACAAAGTCCTAAGTTTAACCCAAACACTGTGAAATAAATAGACATATTATTGAAGACTATTACCTACATAACCTTAAATTTTCTAAGAGTGACAATAATTATGCCATTTCTATCCCACCCTCTTCATTGAGATTCAAGGCTTCATTTATTTTGGTACTGTGATCCTTAAGGATTTTGGAGGACATTTCTTTATTTGAGGGGAATGAGCTTTGTGGAGGGTACATTTTCTTGGCCAATGGAAGATAAAAAGTTTAAAATTTGCTTAATAACAAACATCGTGCTTGTCTCATTGGTCAAGGAACTGAGTAGATTCTGTGTCAGTCACTGAGTATGTTAATGTCAAATATGTTCAGGGGTCAGAAAAATAATGGCTGGCTCTCTATTCCTTTGCTATAATACAGAAGTCATGTTAATGTTTTAGTTTGATGAGTATCAACAACCATCAACCTGTATCCAACCAACAGTCTTCATGAATATCTTTATGTGTCCTCCTGCCTCAACCATACAGTCATCTGAGATAATGGCTAAGGATCCTGTGCTGGCTAGTGCTATTGCTGTCAACTCAACACAAGCTAGAATTATATGAGAAGAGAGAATCACAATTGAGATGGACTATGCCTCATGGAAAGTCTTCACTGCATTTTCTTTATTAATTTTTGACTAAGATCGGAGGACTCAATCCACATGGGTGGAGCCAATCCTGACTACAAGTCTTGGTAACAATAAGACAGCAAGCAAGTCTGTAAACAGCATTCCTCCATGACATCTACATCAGCTCCTGCCTCATTATTCCTGCCCTGACTGCCCTTCATTATGGACTGTGACATGGATGTGGAAGTGAAATAAACTCTTCCCCAAACTACTCTTTGGCCATGGTGTTTTATCACAATGAGGGAAATCCTATTTAAGACAGATCTCTTTGGAGAAAGGTAGGAGACTTGTTAATATTAACATTTTCTTTGACTAATGAATCTATTTATTCTATCTTATCTTCAGTGCCTGAGAATCGCTTTTTCATCTCTTGTGTTCTTTTGCTGATGTTGCCTCTCTAGTTCATTTCACTTACCCAGATTTTTCATTTCCAGAATAATTCTCATGGTTTGTCTTTTCTTTATTGCTTTAAAATCAATTTTCAAGTCTTGAACTATTTCCTTAACCTGTTTGATTGGTTTTTTTTTCTTGGCTTTCTTTAAGGGATTTATTTATTTCTTCCATTTTTTATTTGTTTTTTCTCAATTTCTTTAAGTGAATTTTTATTTCCTTTTTTAGAGCCTCTATCATCTTTATAAAGGTACTTTTTAAGATCTATTTCTGTGCTTCATCTGCATTGGAATGTTCAGGTCTTGTCATAGAATCACTGTGTTCTGGTGGTGCCATATTCCCCTTTCAGTTATTTAAAAAATGCTTACACTGGCATTTATGAATCTGAACTTGGGGATTATAGGTCTGGGTGTTTATTACTAAATTTATCTTCATTGGATGGGTGTTTTGTTCCTTTATTTTTCTGTTTTTATTATTTTATGGCCTGAATAGCCAAGAGTTCTAGAGACTGGCAGTTCTTCAGTTATGGATGTTAAAATCTTATTATAAAGTGACTAAAGTATGCATACCTGAATAGGTGAAAACAGATATCAAAGAGAATTGAATATCAAAAGAATGGCACTATTTGAGTGTTAATGAAATTTCTCAAGCATAGGCTCCTTCTATAAATATGTCTCCATCTTTATTCTAATTTGACTAAGCAGAGACTCAAAAAATACATTAGCATGAATGCCACAGCCCATTATCACTTAATATAGCAGATGGTATACAGGCAGTGGGGGATTCCCCATAGCTTCTGGGGAAAGAATGCAATAGCACACCTGAAGTTACAGTCAGAAGCAAAAGATATTCCTGGCTCTGGTATTCTTATGACCTTAGTTAAATGAGATTTCTCCATCAGAGAGTTTGTTTCTAGTAAGTTGACACCTGAATATTAATTACCATCTGCTATATGTGTAGCCATTGATCATAAAAGAGAAAACTTGTAACTCTCTCTCGGGGCTATGAAGTCAGATTAATTTTGTAGCCCTGGACAGTTGTAGAATCTTTTCCCATGGTGTACCTGAACAAAAGTCATAAAACTGAGGTTAGGAATTCATGGAAAGCATTAATCATTACCATATGTTGTCAGCAAGACCTGGCACAGCAATTAAGTTGCTTCACACTTGCTACCTTGGTTCAACAGAACAGATGTTTGTTGTATGTCCTTATAACTAAAATTATTTTTTATGTAAATAGTTTATTTTAGAAACCACTAACAAGGTACCTGTTCTGATCTAAAGCTACCTTGAAGATTTATATCAGTTGATAGTATAGGGGTAATACAGCTGTTTTCTTAAGCTGAATTCCAAGATAACTCTTCAGGGGAACTTAAGTAGCATGAACTTGAGATGAACTTGAGTAGCATCTCTTTGTGTTCATTTTATTCACCAAAAGTCTGTATAGTCTAATATTATTAATAACAATTGGACAATATAAATAAGGGGGGCCTGTCTTCTCGATAATCCACAGATAAAAATGATCAGGAAATCAGGATGTGTCTCTTTACAGTAATAGTAAACACTAACTAAGATTTCTACCAATCTATGAGCATGGGAGATCTGCTGAGGTTCATGTAAGGGAAACAGCAAGCAACTTTGGAACTTGTGGAAGATTGTCGCTGCCCATGGGTAAGTCAGCAAGACTTATCTTACCCTGTGGGGGAAGGGAGTGAGAACTGAAAGGAATGAGAGACACAAGAGATGGAGACAAGACGGGATTCTGATCAAGTCTCATTTATTCAAGGGAATAAGCAAGGTAAATATAGGGTAAGGGAAATAAGGAAGTTCTTCTAGTGTAAATGGATAACTAGGCAACCTAACCATGGCCTAATGGTCAGGTGGAAAATCCCTATCTACAACATGCAGAAGAGCCAGAATGCTCAGAACACAGGAATAATGGGGCAATAACTCCTTGTAGAGTTAGTATTTGACAGATCAGAACAGCAGGAAAAGCCAAATGCAACAGAACAGCAGGAGAAGTCAAGCACAAGAGACTCGGAAAAACTTATCCAGGGAGCAATAAGTCTCCCACAGGTTCCTCTCTTTATTTTTATTAGTTTTAATATGCCAAAAGTCATTTGAGGAGGCTGTGCCTGTCTTAGGTTGGGGGGAACTCCTGTAGTCCTGTCCTAACCTATCATAGGAAGGCATAACATCATTTGGTTCTGATCCTGTCTTAGGTTACATGTTTAATATAGGTATACATCTTTCCGTTACCCACCTCTGGCTAGCCAGCCCAGCGCACCAAGTTTGAAGACAATTATCTGGTTCCTCATGTGTGTATGAGTTCACCAGCTAAACATTAACCTACTCTTCAAAGTCTGCCATGTCTAGTTTATGATAATGGACCTGTACAACTTACATTTTAGTTGTCTCATTCACTTTTTGGTTTATAAATGTCATCAACTTAAAAGAAAAGATCCTAGTGAAAGGAAAATTAATAAGCCAAGCAAGGATGCTAACAAGGGAAGGAGGCAGCAGGCACGTTGCTAATGCCTCCATAGCATTCACAAAAAGGACCAGATAAAACTTGTAGAAGGTCTTGGGCATTTGCCGGTGGCCAACTCCTCCTTCAGCCAAAGACATTAGAGACAGCAATGTTTCTTGTATTGTCCATTTCTTCATTTTCTTTATCTGAAACTTAAAAATATTTGTTCTCAGGGAGACATTTAATCCCTGGAATCTGTTAGATCACTATTTTCGTTGTTTTGTATTTTAGCAATTTGCTTAACTAGGCAATCAGAAAGCCATCTAGCAGATTTCATGTTTTTTGGAATAAATGCATACTGACCCTCATCCCCAAAAGAGTGTTAAGGCACTGATGAAAGCGATTAGAGAGGACTTAATCTCAACAATACCTTTCAGCATTATAAATAACTTGCCTGAAGTCATGGCTTTACCTGTGATCTATCCTGTTACTATGGGTGAAAAGCAAGGAAATGTTAATTATTCAGAAGGATAAAACCTGTAAATGAGAACCTAGGTATATGAAAATTTTAAAGATATTAAGAAAGATACATTTTCTGATGGTATACATTCAGTACATGTGAGGCAGTTGTTAAATACATGGTCTTTAAGAAATAGCAGCATTATTTGTAATAGCCAGAACCTGGAAACATCCCAGAATCCCCTCAGTCAAAGAATGGATGAAGAAAATGTGGTACATTTATAAAATGGAGTACTACTCAGTGGTTAAAACAATAATGACACCTTGAAATTTGCATGCAAATGGATGCAACTAGAAAAAAAGACATTCTGAGTGAGATAACCCAGACCCAGAAAGATGAACATCATATTTACTCACTCATGAGAGGATACTAGCTGTAAAGCAAAGAATAAGAAGCCTATAGTCTACCATCCTAGAGAAGCTAAGTAATAAGGTGAACCCTAAGAGAAAAAAAATGGAGATTTTCCTGGAAAGTGAAAATAGACAAGAACTCCAAACAAAATGGGGAGATGGAGTGGGGAAAAAGAACAGTGGAAGGATAACAGGAGGGGAGAAAAGAGGGGGAGAGGAGAATTTGAGGGAATGGGATAGTTGAGATGGGGAAAGGACAGAGATAGAGGGCAAGGAAAGAGATATCTTAATTGAGGAAAATATTATGCAGCTAACAAGAAACCTAGTACTAGAAAAATTCTCAGGAATACACAAGGATGACTACAGCTAAGATCCTAAGCAATAGTGGAAAGGGTGCCCAAACTGGCCTTGCCCTGTAATCAAATTTAGGACTATTCTAAATGTCAAAAATAGTACCTTCATCTAGAAACTGATAGAAACAGAGGCAGAGACACACAGTAGAGCACTGAGCTGAGTTTCCAAAGTCCAGGTGAAGAGTGGGAGGAGTGAGAATATGAGCAAAAATGTCAAGACCATGATGGGAACAACCCACAGAAAACGCTTACCAGAGCTAATGGGAGCTCACCAACTCTGGCTGGACAGAGAAAGAACCAGCATAGAAAGAGCAAGTAGGACACCTCTTTATAATCTCCTGAGCTTGATGCCGTGTAATAGAAAACTCTTTCTTTAAACCTTTGCTATTGACATGATGTTTTTATGAAATTCAGAGACCTGCAACACGCTTCCAATCAATAATTGATCAATTTCAGCATTACCTTGTGCTAGAGGACCTGGCAGACCTATGTGGGGTTGGATGTGTGCTATGTATATAGGACAAAGCCTATTCCTAATTATGTCTTGCACCTGGATGAATAATTAAGTCAATTCCATATCATCTGGTATAAATTCAGCAGTTTCAATATGTAAGACAACTCTTTCTGCATATTGTGAATCAGTAACTATATTGAGAAGTTCTTTAAAATTCCTTAGTACCATAAGAATAACATATAATTCTGCCTTCTGGACAGAATTATAAGGGTTTTGTTCAATCTTAATTAATTCTTCTGATTTGTAACCTGTCTTCCCTGATTTATTTGCTTCAGTATAAAGTGTATGAGCTTTTGGGATAATTGCCATTAATTTCTCCCAAAAAATTAGCACAAGCCCTTTGTCAGGGTTCATTGTCTTTCCTTGACTTTTTTTATTTATTTAACAGTAAAGGGAACTATAATCTCTTCTGAATCTATACCTGCTAATTGACAAAGTATCAATTTACATTTTATAATTAATTCAGAGACTTTTTCCACATAAGTTTTTTTTATTGTTTGGTTGGTTTATGTGATTAAAAAATTCATTCTAAGATAATATCTTCCCTCTGCATTAAAATTCCTGTAAAAGAAATTCTGGAAGGCAATATGACTAGAATACAACTAAGATTTGGATTCACCCTATCCACATGTGCTCTTGTAATTTCTCCTCAGCAATTGTCAATTCCTTTTCTTCTTCAGCTGTTAATTCTCTGACTATTCAAGTCTTTATCATCATCTAAGATTTTGTTTAAATGAATTATTAGATCAGGTGTTATCCCAACAGCCAGTTGTAGACAGGAATTATCTCCCAATAATCTTTGAAATTCATTAAGAGTCCACAACCGGTCTCTCCAAATTTGTGCCTTTTGTGTTCTAATTTTCTGTAAACCTATTCTGTAACCTAGGTAATTAAAAGAATCTCCTTTTTTAATCTTTTCAGGAGCAATTTGTAATCCCCATTTAGGCAAGACTTTCTTTACTTCTTCAAACATGCTTTCTAAAGTATGTTTAATTGAAACTGATAACAAAATGTCATTCATGTAATGGTAGATTATAGATTTAGGAATTTGCTTACGTATTATTTCCAAAGGCTGGCTGACAAAGTATTGGCACAGGGTGGAAATATTGTGCATTCCCTGTGGGTGGATGGTCCATTGATATCTCCTAGTAAGCTGAGAATTATTATAAGTAGGCACTGTGAAGGCAAACTTTTTTCTATCTTTTTCTTGTAAAGGTATAGTGAAAAAATCTTTTAAATCAATAACTATGAGAGGTCATCACTTTGGTAACAGAGAAGGCAGAGGAATTCCAGATTGTAGAGGGCCCATAGGCAGAATAACCTTGTTGATAGTGCTAAGATCTGTCACCATTCTCCATTTTCCAGATTTCTTTTTGACAACAAATACAGGAGAATTTCAAGGGCTGGGAGATTCTTCTATATGTCAAGCATATAGTTTATCTTGTACCAGCTGTTCTAAAGCCTGCAACTTTTCCTCAGCTAGAGGCCACTGCTTAACCCATATTGGTTTCTCAGTTAACCATTTTAAAGATAGGACTGTTAGTACCTCTGAAGGTTTATCAATTGCTTTGTGTTATTGTACAGCCTGAATGGCTGGTGTCCATTTTTTATAATATCTTCTAATAATTTCCTTAGACACATAAATTTGGGGGGCTGCAGGAATGTTAATCTGGGTATTCCATAGCTGCAATAGGTCACAGCCCCACAAATTCACTGCAATATTGAATATATGTGGCCTTAGTCTTCCTATTTGTCCTCCTGACCCTATTCATTTAACCCATCTTGTGCTCTGTTTTACCTGATATAGGGTTACAATTCCAGGAATTGAACAACTACCTCCTGAAAATACCAATTCTGATTGATGTCAAGGTTCTGGAGTAATAATACTTACATTCACACTCGTGTCTCATAAGCCTTAAATAAAAAAAATGTCATTTATACAAACTCTTAGCTTTGGTATTTGATTATTTATAGAAGTCTGCCAGAATATATGTTTCCTCAGTCCTACTGGACTTTTTTGAGTCATACTCCACATTTAACCCATCATTCAGACCAGTATTGCCTTTTACAGCAGGCATTAAATTTTTTTAATTTTCCTGGAGAGATACATTTTCCACAGTAACTGGGAATGACTGGACCACATTCATCATGGGGACCTACGAGAGACAACTCATGGCAATTCCCAATGGTATCGGATTGCATTATCTATCTTTTGTTGACCTACATTCATTGGTCCAATGTTGGCCTTTGCCACACCTCCTACATATACCTGAAGCCTGTGTCCTCCTATTTCTGTCATTCCCAGAGGAGGCATTATTCCTCGGAATCTGTTGTCTACAATTCCTTCTCAGATGTCCCATTCTACCACAATTAAAATATTTGGTATTTTGATGTGTGCGTGCTCTCTTCCATCTGCTTCCATCTGCTTCCATCTCCCATTCTGACTACTAGATTCTATTTCCTGTTTGTGCTCAGAGGACTGCTGTTTAGGATGGTTATCTGTAAGTTTTTCCCCTTAAATAAATAACCCTTTTTATAATCAATAATTGTGAACTGGTATGGGATTGTTTTACGGCATCACATAGCTCACACAGTCAACAGGAAAATCACCAGAAAATAAGAGACGTGCAGAATGGTTAAAGAAGAGAAGTCAAGAAGAGATGTGAAATCCCTAGGTGGTGAAAGGAATCACTTTTTTTTTTTTTTGAAACTATACTGAAAGAGACTAAAATTGGGAGCCAGCCCTGGAGGAGCTCTGTGCTGAAGGAGCTGTTTGTCCTCATTCTCAGCCCTACATTGCCATCTGCTGGCTCCAGGTTGTTTTCTCTCACACACAAAAATAAAATAAAAAAGACAACCCTAGAAATTGAATGTCTCTTTCCTTTGCAATTTGCTTACTGCTGGACTTCATACAACTACAATACTCTCAAGTGTCCCTGCTTCCAGAAAAGCTCTCATCTGAGTTTAATTTGTTTATTTGTTTGTCATTTGTTTGTTTGTGAAAAGAAAGGGAAATCAACTAAATAAGCATTTCATTAACCATTTTACTGCTCCATAATCTTCTATGGTTCCACCATCCCTACAGAATAAAGTCCATGATCCTAACAATGTCAGTTCTCTAGAACTTGACTCCAGGTCACCTGAGGGTCCAGGAAGCTCTGGCAACAGCCAGCATAAATCTAGTGGTTTGCTGAACACATCTCCAACTTCATCTGAAGGAGCCTGCAGCCACCACTACTTTCTCAGTGTCTGTTATCTCCTTCCATATCTCCACTCCTTAGTGATATCCCACTGGCATATGAATGAACAAAACAAGATATACACAGACAATGGAATGTGATTCTATTTAAGGACAAGAAGGAGCCAACATGATGGTTGAGGGGGTAAGCCTGAGAACAGTCCTCAGGACCAACATGGTGGAAGGGGAGAAACAGCTCCCAGAAGTTGTCATCTAACTTTCATGTACCCACTGTGGTACATAGACACACAAGAGCACACACACACACACACACACACACACACACACACACACACACACACAGTAAATATATAAGTGGGTAAAGTAACAAAGAAATAAATGTAATAGAAAAATTTTAAGGAAATGCATTCTGGTATGTGCCACAACTTGGATACATATTGTACTGAGCCAATAAATCTATCATTAAAAAAAGAAAAATTGTTCTTTGTTCTGTAATATTAGTGTTTTGATTATTATATGGCTAGGGGATTTTTCTTTTCTGGTCCAATCAATATGCTATCCTTTAGGCTTCTTTTATCTTTAGGTTAGAAAACTTTTCTTCTGTGATTTTGTTGAAAATGCTTTCTGGGCATAGTGGGCAGAAGACAGATAGCCAGAACCCACAGAACTGGCCCAATGTAGGATACCACTATGATGAGCAAGTATGTAGTGTAGACATGAGAGAGAAAGAGAAGTGAGAAGGACAATTAATAAAAACTCAGAGTCAAAAATTGGGGTTCAACCATAAGATCTGAAAAGAAAAACAGTCAGCCACTGGCTCTTACCTCAACCTCAGTCTGAAATGGCAGTCCTACCTTCAGGAATATTAGAATGAGGCTGTGTCTGAGAGCTGTCTTCCACCATCTAATATGCCTTCTCTAAGGCTGGGATTAAAGGCATGCACCACTGAGATTAAAGGAATGCACCACCAGATTTCTATGGCAATTAGTCTGACTACTGGGATTAAAGGTGTGTGGTACCATAATTCAGTCTGTGAGGCTGGCCAGTAAAACTGTTTTATGCTCAAATCTTCAGGCAGTCTTTATTTATTAAAATACAATTAAAATGCCACTATAGAAGTGGAGCTGTTCAGATACTGTGGAAGAAGGCATAACTGAAGACTGAAAAGCAGTGAGTAACAGGCTGGTATGAGTAGTCTGTGTTGCCACTTCAGGACATGTAATGTTCAGGCCTGTGATGCCAGGTCAATGGCCCTACCACAGTTAGGGTCTGTGTTGATGTCCATGGCCTGCATTACCACCAAGGGCCATGTGGATGCCCATATTCAGAGCCACCATCTGAGGTCATGTTGGTATTCAAGAACCATGGTGATCTCTGTGGCTTTTGCTTCCACCTGAGGCCATGGTGGCATCTAGGTTCATGCTACAGTCAAGAACCAGGTCTGGGTCCCTGATCCTACCTCAGTCAGGGTCTGTGTTGATGTCCATGATCTGTGTTACTACCAAAGTCAATGTGGAAGTCATGATTGTGACTGTTATTATAGCCGGGCCTTTGCTGCAGCCGCTGGCAATGTCTGGG